GAGGAAGTGGGGAGAGTTGTTTGGTCAGATGAAGGAGCTTTCTTCACCCTCACCAACTTGTGCCCTTACTTGTTCCAGAGTGAGGGGCCATGTCAAGGAGGGGAGCAGGGCATGGGGGGAACCTGGCATTTGTATGCTTTTCAGGGGGCCTGCACATGTCATCTCTTTTCAGCTTCACAGACATTCCACAAGGTGGGAATTGTTTCTATTTTACAGATGAGGGACTTGAGGCTAGGAGAAGTCACACAGCTGGTATAAGACTGAAGAAGGGGGCTAGGCACAGTGGCTCATGCCTGTAGTCCCAGCACTTTGGGAGGCAGAGGTGGGCTGATCATGCGGTCAGGAGTTCAAGACCAACCTGACCAACATGGTGAAACCCTCGTCTCTACTAAAAGTACAAAATTACCCACGCATGGTGGCGTGCGCCTGCAATCCCAGATACTCAGGAGGCTGAAGCAAGAGAAATCGCTCGAACCTGGGAGCCAGAGGTTTGCAGTGAGCCGAGATCGTACCACTGCAATCCAGCCTGGGTGACAGAGCAAGAATCTGTCTGAAAGAAAGAAACATAAAGAAGAAAGAAAGAAAGAAAGAAAGAAAGAAAGAAAGAAAGAAAGAAAGAAAGAAAGAAAGAAAGAAAGAAAAAGAAGAAAAAAAAGAGAGAAGAAAGAGCAGTGGAGGGAGCCTGGGCGCCGGGACTCACTGTGTAGACGTATTCTGCAGGAGGCTGTTTGGGGCTGCTGGCAGATCTTGGAGCTGGGCACTTCCTGGTGGGATCCTTCCGTGGAGCCTGCATCTGCCTCTGTAGAGAGAAAGGAGTCAGAGCCAGGGATGAGTGGCTCCCATATCGTACCACTGCAATCCAGCCTGGGTGACAGAGCAAGAATCTGTCTGAAAGAAAGAAACATAAAGAAAGAAAGAAAGAAAGAAAGAAAGAAAGAAAGAAAGAAAGAAAGAAAGAAAGAAAGAAAGAAAGAAAGAAAGAAAGAGAGAAAGAAAGAGCAGTGGAGGGAGCCTGGGCGCCGGGACTCACTGTGTAGACGTATTCTGCAGGAGGCTGTTTGGGGCTGCTGGCAGATCTTGGAGCTGGGCACTTCCTGGTGGGATCCTTCCGTGGAGCCTGCATCTGCCTCTGTAGAGAGAAAGGAGTCAGAGCCAGGGATGAGTGGCTCCCATCTTCCTCCCCATGTAGACCTCATCAGAGGAAAGGATGGCAGATTGTCATGAGGCCACACAGAGATTTATTGCTCCGTCCCTCCCACTCACCCTTCTCCAGTGAAACATGGTGAATGCCTCCAAGACCTGCATCAAGCCACTCATGCACCTGGAGACACAGGAAATGGAAAAGGCCCACACGAGGTGTGGTCTGTGCACAGAGCACCTGGCTTGTAGGGATGCAAGCTGCTGGACCCGGTGCCAGTGGGGCAGGGCCCAGAAACCAAGCCAGCTGTTGTGGGTGGGCCTTTAGTGGTGCCAGCCAGGCCTGGTGTCCAGTCCTGCCATGCTGTCACTCACTGGCTCTGGCCTCGAGCAAGCCAGTTCCCCTCTCTGGGCCCTGGTTTCTTTTTTCTATTTTTATTTTTGAGAAGGAATTTCGCTCTTGTTGCCCAGGGCCCAATCTTGGCTCACTGCAACCTCCACCTGCTAGGTTCAAGCGATTTTCCTGCCTCAGCTTCCCAAGTAGCTGGGACTGCAGGTGTGTGCCAACACGGCTGGCTAATTTTGTATTTTTAGTAGAGACAGTGTTTCACGATATTGGCCAGGCTGGTCTTAACTCCTGACCTCAGGTGATCTGCTTACCTTAGCCTCCTAAAGTGCTGGGATTACAGGCGTGAGCCACCATGCCTGGTGGTGGGTCTTGGTTTCCTCAGCAATAACCCTCCTTTGTGAGATTGTTGCTAAAATTCAAGGGGAACACAGGAAATAGGTGCCTGGTGCTAAGGAGGTGGCGCTTAGGACGTCCTTGTCAACCAACACACACTTGATAGCACCGGTGAACCAGGCAGTGTGAGGAAGCGGGCACCGTCCCTAGACTCCTGAAGTTTAGGGACCAGTGAAGAGATAGAGGGTGAACCCGCAGTTTTGCCAAACATGGTATGTGGGCTGATTGTGGGTCATGGAGCCTCTGGCACATGAGGAGGAAACCAGTGCCCCACTGGGCAGAAGCAATATTGAAGGTGAAATCCTGAGGGCAAGTTCATTTAGCAAGAGAGGGAGGAGGGAGCCCCAGGTAGAGGGAACAGCAGGTGCCAAGGCCTGGTGGTCCTGAGGCACTTTTAGAGAAGGTCAACGTAGGCTGGGCATGGTGGCTCACACCTGTAATCCCAGCACTTTGGGAGGCTGAGGTGGGCAGATCATGAGGTCAGAAGTTCAAGACCAACCTGGTCAACATGGCAAAACCCCCTCTCTACTAAAACTACAAAAATTAGCCAGGCGTGGTGGCGGGTACCTGTAATCCCAGCTACTTGGGAGGCTGAGGCAGGAGAATCACTTGAACGAGGAGGCAGAGGTTGCAGTGAGCCAAGATCATGCCACTGTACTCCAGCCTGGTGATGAGATCCCATCTCAAAAAAAAAAAAAAAAAGAAAAAGAGAGAAGGTCAGTATGGCCAGATAGGAGAGCCTGCCCGGGAGGGGCCAGAGTGGCCGTGCAGGCTTCGTGAAGAGCACAGGAGATAACTGAGGGCTGGAAGTGGGAGCCTGGTCACAGCTGCACTGGAGAAAGACCCCTCTGGCTACTGCCTGGAGTGCTAATGGTCACGGTGGAGGCTGGGCCTGGCCTGCTGCCTGCTGGGAAGGTGAAGCCTAGGCAGGTCAGGAGGCAGTGCAGGCAGCCCTCTGGAGGCAGAGGGAGGTGGCCTGGACGTCCCAGCTCATTGCAGGCACTACACTGTCACTGCTGACAGTGGAGCCACAACTGCCTCATCTCAGGGCAGGAGCTAATTAAAAACCCTGGCCCCCTGCCAAACCCCACCCATTTACTGCAGGATTAGCTGTTGAGAGCTACTTCACTCTCAGGCAGAAGCCGGTGCCACCCCCAGTCACAGCACATAATGGCTCAGAGCATGGAGCCAGGTAGGACTCCAAACACCAGACCTGCCTTCTCTCATGGGCCTCTCCACAAAGCTGCAGGCGAGTCTTTCCATCATCTCGCATCTGTACCTGATGGAGAGGAGGCTCAGAGAGGGCAGGTGACTTGCCGAGGCCACGAAGCCAGGAAGTGGCAGAGGCAAGATTTGGATCCAGGTCTGTGTTTCACCAAGATACCGACGAGACAAGAGCTGGAGTTTCTCCACTCCTCTGCTTTGTTAGAACTTGTAAGCCTCACAGACTCAGAGAAGTGCTGGCGTCTGTGTAGCACTTGATAGTTTACAAAGTCTGCTGGGACTTGTCCTTATTTTCATTTAATTCTCAAAACAGCCTGAGGAGGTGGGCATGGAATTGTTCATTTAACAGAGAGGGGGCCAGGTACAGTGGCTCACACCTGTAATCCTAGCACTTTGAGAGGCCAAGGCAGGTGGATCACTTGAGGTCAGGAGTTCAAGACCAGCCTGGCCAGCATAGCAAAACCTCGTCTCTACTAAAATTACAAAAATTAGCTGGGTATGGTAGCTGGCATCTGTAGTCTCAGCTACTTGGGAGGCTGAGACAGGAGAATCACTTGAACCTGGGAGGCAGAGGTTGCAGTGAGGTGAGATTGTGACATTGCACTCCAGCCTGGACAAAAGGAGTGAGACTCTCAGAAACAAAACAAAACAGAACAAAACAAAACAAAACAGAGGGGGGAAACTGAGAGGCTTGTCCATCTGGTAAAGAGCTGTCCTTGGATCAAACGCAGATGTGTGTCCTCAAATCCAGGGTCCCCTCCCCTGCACCACCTGCTTCTTGAGGGCATTGTCATAGTCAGAGGCTGTGCTCCACCCCAGGGTACCTCGGTGCCTCCTCTTGTTGGGAAGCTGGGGACCTGGTGTCTGTGTCCTCACTGAGCCAGCTGGCTTGGACACCGCCAGGGTTAAGGATGTGAACTCACGGGCAGTGGGTCTCCTGCAAGGCTGACCTGGACTCAGCTCTTTGGCCCTGCCAGGGCTGGAAAGCAGGGTCCCTGGAGCTCAGCTGTCAGTGTCCCTCCCTGGTCCTGGGCCTGGGCTAGGCAGGGAGGACCCCATGGTGAGAGAGACCCAGGCCTGGACTCAGTGAGACTGCTGGGGCTGCCAGAGAGGTGAGTGCCACTGCAGGGCCCCAGGAAGGAGCCCCAGGTCTGCAGGGGACTGCAGCAGTCTCAGGGGCATCTTGCACTGTCTTCTGAAAACACAGGAGGGATTTCTAAGCTCTCCGAGTCTGAGAAGATGTCTGAGGCATGGCGAACAGCTTGGGGGCAGGAGTGTCTCGATGTATTAGGGATGCACAGAGGGATGGACAGTCAGACGGAAAGGAGATGAGCTGCAGGCCAGTGCAAGTGGGGCCATGGGAGGTCAAATGCCACAGTGTCAACCTGGAGGGCAGTGGGGGCAGCAGCGCAGGGAAGTGGCAGCAGTTGCATTGTATAAGCCTCCCTCTGCTGCCACAGGTGTGGGGTAGACTGCAGGTTGGGGCTGGCAAGGGGAGGAGGCAGGATCTCCAGGAAAGAGGCCTCCTAGGGGTGCTGGGGAGGCTGGGCCGGGGCAAGGGGTCCTGTGGAACAGGGAGGGAGCCTTTTTGAAAACTCAGATGGATGCTGTTGCACTATGGGGGCAGGGCTGCTCTGCTCCCTGCCCACCCCTGCCCATCCTGCCCACTGAGTGCTCTGTCCTTGGGGCGGCCAGCATTTGCCCTTTCAACTCTGGTTTTCAGATGAATCACTGATGTGGCTTCTCCCACAGTGCCCAGTTCTCTGTGGCCCAAGCCTCTCTCCCTAGTAGACAGTGGTGGGGCAGGGTGTTACCAGGCATGGGCTGAGATCCAGGTCTGAACACCAGGGATGCTGCCATCAGCAGCTCAGGATGCCTGTCAGGCCTCAGTTTCCTCCTCTGTAAAATGGGAGCGATAATGTGGCCTTGCCTACCTCACACTCTGGCCACTTCTGATTTATCTTCCAGGTCCTCATGTGCATTTAACCTGTCATTCCTTCCACAAGCATGCACTGCATGCCAGGCTCCCCAGCTACTGGAGACACTCAGTTTCCCTCCCCCTCCCCAGGCCCCGGCAAGGGTGATGCTTTGGCAGGACAGACAGCATAGAGACAAGCCAGGGGCCAGGCATGGTGGTTCACACCTGTAATCCCAGCACTTTGGGAGGCTGAGGTGGGCAGATTACCAGGTCAGGAGTTTGAGACTAGCCTGACCAATATGATGAAACTCATCTCTACTGAAAAAAACACAAAAATTAGCCGGGCATGGTGGAACATGCCTGTAATCCTAGCTGTGGCTTGAACCCGGGAGGCAGAGGTTGCAGTGAGCTGAGATTTTGCCACTACACTCCAGCCTGGGCAACAGAGTGAGACTCTGTTGCAAAAAAAAAAAAAAAAAAAAAAAGATGGAAGCCAGGGCATGGCAACAGACACCCTTATTTCAGGAGACACTGATGGAACCCTGAGCCCTGGATGCCCAGGAAGCCCCAGGGAAAGGGCTGGATCCTGGACAGACTGAGTGCAGGGCTCACTGAGGGGTGGGTGGGAGAGAAAAGAGCAAACACAACTCCAGGGTTTGGGCCTGAGCATCGGGAGCACATTTGCTGGGACTCAGAGGGCTTGGGGACGAGGAGCAGTGCTCTGGATGCATGAGGTGGCAGTGCCCTCAGGCCCCATACAGGGCTGTGGAGCATGGTCTGGAGCTTGGGGAGGGGTCTGAGCAGCAGATTCTGTTGAGGGGGAATGGGCCTGCAGAGCAGAGCCTTCATCGCAGGAGCACAGGAAGAAAACAGAAGGGCTCGGAGGAAGGGCCCCGGCCATGCCAGAGGCCAGAGGTCACCAAGACAAGGGTGACCTAGCAAAGCTGCCTGTGGGGTGGAGCAAAACCAGTAGGGCAGCAGGTCCTGGAACCAAGAGGAGGAGTGTGCTGTGAGGCGGGAGGCCTGCTGTGTCCAATGCCATGAGAGGAGGAGGGTCAGCTGCAGGGAGCACCTGCTCTGAGAAGACCACTTTGACACTAAAGCCAGC